TACAATGATATTTGTCTTATAGGCATTRCAAGATGGAAAGAAGGTCATTACAGCACACTGGTTGAATGATGTTTTGACTGAGAAAAAAATGTCAGTACCATCAAAGGCCCTACATTTCCCACAACCATTTGAAGGGAAGCTTCCACAGTGCAAAAACATGGTAAGACTGTAGTTATTCAACTTGCATTGAGCTGTTTACCAAAATGTGCGAATGGCTGTCAAAGAGTGTGCAAGAATATTGTTTTATTATAGTAAAGAGCATTAATGTTACACATATTCAGCATTTTAGGCCCGGTTCATACGTTGTGCCAGCGTCGTGTCGAGCCAAATAGTTTGAATTTAACACATGAACGGCTCGACGTATGAATCAATTTTGAGTTTTGCGCGACCGTAGCTCGGCAGTAGCATGGAAGCACCAGTAGTTTTGCACAGCAAAACCTCGACACTGATTCAAACATTGAGCTTTCGTCGTGCCGAACTTAACGCCAGAAATATCTGTATTCGAAAATATAATGGATCTAAATTGCCTGTTATCGGACCATATGCTTTTGACTCCATTTGGTTCAATGTATGAATCAAAGCCGTACTGAATGCATTTGGGTCGACACCAATAGTCTCCTTCACGGTTACCTTCGCCATCTTGAAAGGTAGCCGTGCCTTTGCATCGAAGCGAGACAACCATTGAGCGTGCAATGATAGAAACCTGTGAATAGTTGTCTGTAGGTGTGAAAGAAGGTTTCTATCATTGCATGCTCAACGGTTGTCTCGCTTCGATGCAAAGGCACGGCTACCTTTCAAGATGGCGCAGGTAACCGTGAAGGAGACGATTGACTATTTGGTTTGGCGCGACGATAGCGCAACGTATGAACAGGGCCTTAGATTTACTGGGGTCACTTGTACAAAGAGTGGATAATGTTATAAAAGGGCAACCATGTTTAATCATGAACCCTGTCTTCATCTTCAAAGTGTTTAGTAATGTCTCTTTTTTATTTCTACTAGACCATCACTGTTACTGGTTACACAGATACAGAAAGATTACTGGTTAAA